CCGCACGCTGCGTGGCAGGAGACAGACAAGCTGGTTCCCTCACAGTTCTTGAAGCTCCCAGCACAAAAGCCAGGTGTCAGCAGGGCTGTGCTCCCACTGGACACCCGCAGGGAGACTCCATCCTGGACGCCCGAGCTCCTGAGGAGCCAGGTGACCCTGGCGTGTGGCAGGGGCCCTCTTGTCCATGCTCTGTCTCCTCACTGCCTTCTTCTCTGCATCTGTGTCTTCTCCTTTTCTTTTCTTTTTTAAAAAGAATTATTTATTTAATTTTATCTCTTTATTAATTTATTGTTTCAGTTTAACCAGAGAGAGACACAGAGAGAAAGAAAGAGAGAGACACAGAGAGAAAGAAAGAGAGAGCACAAGTGAGAAAGCAAGCCACCAGGTGCAGGACTCGAACTGTAGACAGTTCAGGGCCTTAACCACCGTGCCTCCTGCTGGTCTCCCATCCTTTTCTTAGTACATACCAGTCATTGGATGGAGGGGTGACCCTCAATCCAGGACAGTTTCATCTTGGGACCTGCAAAGACCCTATTTGCAAGTGAGGTCACATTCTGAGGTCCTGGGCAGACTTGAATTTGGGGAACACTATTTCGGATGCCACACTGTCTATGCAGCAAGTGGAGAGTGGCTTGCTCTTACCAATATGAGAAAATGTGACTTTTTTGGGGGGGGAGGGGAGAGGTTTTTGCTATAGGGCACGTGCGCTCGCCAGCAGAGAGAGAGAGACAGAAAGTGAGAAATTGCCCCCCAGGGGGGATGGCCACGCTGCAATCCCTTCTCCACCGTTCTCCTCTCGGGATCTTGGGCACGTACACACACACACCCAGCGTAAGTTTTAAGCCACTGGGTCCGGGATGCGAACCGCAGTCGACTACATTGGAGTCCAGCGATATAGCCATTACGCTAACTACTGGTCCCAAGGAAATGTGACCTTTAAAGGCAAATGAAGCACACACATGATTCCAGAATGAAACCTGCCCTGCCTATGTAGACCTTCTCTTTTGGTTCCTAAGTAACCCAGTGGGCCGTCACTGCAGAGACTCAGGGGTCAGGGTTAGGTCTGAGATACAAGGTGACACACCCTTGTCTGGCAGAGGGCTGTCTTCTCATCTCAGCCACCTTTCCGATGGCTCAGAGTCGAATGGAGAAGGGAGATCAGCCCAACAGCTGGAGCAGCTGGACCACTCCAGAGAGCCCGCGTTCTCCAGCTTCCCACAGCGTCACCTGAGCTCTGAGGACATCGGCTGTCACGTCAGCTGTCCCCAGAGGAGAGGGATTTGATGGTCAAAATACTCATTTTTCTTCATCTCTTCAATCGTTTTCCTTTACAGGATTAGAAGTACGTCACACAATAACAATAGTTGAGCCCAGTGTTACGTTTCTTATATGCATCTCCTTCATTGATTCTCACAGGAAACTTGGGAGGTGTTATCGATGTTCCCATTTTATAGATGGAAAATAGACGGTGGTGGGGTAAGATGTCATGTGGCCACACCCACAAATGATGCACAGGCATCTGGGAGCCCTGTGGCCGTTCATTTACACACCAACGGCATGTGGGCAGCGGTTCTAGGAAGCCTTACAAAACATTTATCACTTTGTCTTTATAAAATTAGGTTTAGGGGCCAGACAGTGTTGCAGCAGTAAAACATGTAGCTCTGTGAGGCAATCTCACATGGTAAGGTTCCTGGTTCAAGTCCGGAGACCTTCCTACGTACATGAGGAACACGCATGCCCATGATCAGGGCCTGGATGAAGACTGGGGTGTCTCACAGCCTCAAGACCCTACTGGGAAGTTCTCTGTGTGTGTGTCTCATGAAATGAAAATCTAAACAAATTTAGAAAATAATAAAATAAACTCTTTTAGGGTTGACCCTGTGGTCTGATGGTTGGCCGACTTCACGGTTCAAATCTTGACCCTGGCAGCCCGAAAGCCACGCCAGGCAAATACACACACGTGCCCCAAATCCTGGGATGGTGGTGAACTGGAGAATGGACTGTGGTGTGACCATGTCCCATGGGGTCAAGCACTCTCTCCCTCTCTCTCTGCCCCTTTGTCTCTCCCTGGGGAGAACACACTCCCTCTGGAAAATAAAAAAGTAAAAAAACACTGAAAGTAAAGAAAGTTTAGTATTTCTACACCTATTTTAAACCTAATGCCGCTCGTAAAATTGTTTATAAGAAACACGCACATTCCTGAGCCCTGATTTACTTTACTGGTGACTTTTATACACTTCTGGAGTATTTGTTTGCTTAGAGATTTGAAAGTTTAAAAAAATGTAAACACGATGGAACAACCTGTCAGACTCTGAAGAACTGCCGAGGAAATGCTTTTGAAACAGTAGCAGAGCAATTGCTAGAGATCTGAAGCAACAGGGAACACTGAAGAATGAAAAAAAAAAAAAAAAGCAAAACCAAGACGTGAAGCAAGGAGAAGAAATGGTGTGAAAATTGCTGTGTCGAGTTCCAGGTAACAGCAGTTAAAAAGCAGTCATCGTCAGGAAAAGCCCCTCTCTAGAGAATGTGGGTCCTGGGTGTGAGACTGCAGTGTGCGCTCTAAGAGCAGGAGTTAAATCCACAGTGACTCACGAGAGACCCATCCTGAGAAAGTTCACTCCGGCCCTAGGTGAACATCTTCAAGGGCTGCTTTGCACAAAGTGACGACAGGCCAACAACACGGCGAGAGATCCCAGGGTCTGGCTTTTGGCCTTTGGATTCTTCCAACGTTTTCTTTGGGAAAAAAAAAAAGAAAGAAAAGAAAAACATAGTGACTGTTTATTCTACTTACAATAAAATCAATGAACATAAATAAGAGGCATTATATTCAGAACAGTTCTACCGTCCTAGGCTCGTGCACTATGGCTAAGCATTTCCACCCGCCCTTGACCAGGATGGCTTAAACTTCTGAGAATCCTCTGCTGGTGCGTCCATTTTTTTTTTCTAAGTTTATTTATTCCATGAGTGAGAAATGTAGGAAGAGAGAGAAAGCATTGATGCCACGATCCAACCCCAGCTTCTGCCAACCCAAACCATGAGCATGTGTGTACACCCGACATACTCAGAGAGGTCTCCAGATTTGAACCAGCAACCCTCCCAATTGGGTCAGCCTCTCAGAGTGGTGCTTTACCGCGGCCTCACGGTACATTTCCCTGATGGGTCTATTTTTGCTGTGTCTGTTAAGTCCACTTCCTCCCTAGCTAAAGTTGGTCAGCTGATCCATCTCCCACTTCCATGATTCCCACGACAGGTAAGAATAGTTAACTACGCAAGTATTTAAGTTTTTAGGAGAAATGTTCCTTTCTACAGGACAAAAAAAAAAAAAAAAAAATTCCAGTATCAAAGCTTTCTGATTGCAGCTACCTACACATTAATCTATTCTGCTTAATTTCACAAGGCAGAAAGCATTCTACATGATAGACTGTATTAGGTGCATCCAAAGTGATCTAAAATATCAGTTCTTCACAAAGAAAGGGATGTTGGGTTCGCATTATCCAATTTTTTAAAAAATTTCAAACAATCGCAATATCTGAAGGAGGATACTGGGTCGTCCTGGGAGGAGACATGGTGTGTGCATAGGTCTGACCTCCAGCTGTGAGTGTCTGTGTCCCTTAACCCGAGGACCTTCTGTCCGGCGGGGCCACTGTCAGCCCACGGAGCAGGCTGGAAGTTTCAGAGACTTAACACTCCCTGGTACAAGCGCTCAACCCACACTGACAGAAATCGTGTATAAATACCATAGTCCCCTTGCACATTGGGTTACTCTGAGGGGTGTGTCTTACACTGGCTTCTGGACTTTTTAGCAGTATTTTGTTCAGTTACCCACTGAGTTAACTAGCTTAGCTAGGAACAGACCTTTTCCTGCCTTCTCTCGTTCCCCATTGTCCATTGGTCTCCTCTTTACCTGTCCTCAAATCTTTGTATTAGGGTCAGCTTCCAGAGGGACCCAACTAAGACCATGTAAACATTGCTGATGACTCATACTTAAGCTTAAATCTAAAATTTTCTAGTTCTTATGGAAATGTCAATCTAAGTAATTTTTAATATTCTCAATCTCTGGCAAAATTCTTGACATAAAAGTCACTGTGGCTTTTACTAAAATGTAAGTATCTCTGGTTTGAGGTTTAGATGTGTCCAAGTCTTCTTACTGACTGATTCCTTGATTAAGTATCTGTAGGCACTGATAATCAAGGAAACAGCCCCATCCAAGCGTCTTGTCAATAAAGTCAGCTGGCCAATTGGGCCAGTCATTGTGTTGTTTATTTGTGTTTGTTTTTTTCTTTTTTCTTTTCTTTTCTTTTTTTTTTTTTTTTGGAGAGGTTTTCGCTATAGGGCGAGTGCGTTCGTCAGACAGACAGAGAGACAGAGAGACAGAAAGCGAGAAATCACCCCTCCCCAGGTGGGATGGCCACGCCACAATCCCTTCTCCTCCATTCTCCTCTTGGGATCTTGGGCACGCATGCACACGCGCCCACCGTGAGTTTAAGCCACCGGGT